GGACTTGAACCGCCCCCTTCAGAAAACCTCAAGGAAGCCTAGAAAACTAGAGCGCTACTTCCTAGGTCAAAATTGAGGAGTCCTAGATCAGGACTCTCCCCCTTTCTCCAGTTCTTCTTGATTTTGCTATTAAACCCTAGACCAACTACAAGAGATTGCAAATCCACCAAAAAATCCAAGAACTAGGCTTACCTAAAGTCTTCGATCAGCCCTTTACCTCATCGTGCAGTCGGCCAATCTAGGGCTGCATGATGGAGCAGCTCAAAGAATCTTTAAACTTGCTCTAATACCAAGTAGAAAAGTTTAGATGACCTGTTTTGATATACAAACTATAAAGGAAAGAAGAAAAAAAAGAGAAGAAAAGGTTTCAGCTGAGAAAGAAAGAGAAGAGAGATAAAAAAGAATGGGAGAAGCCAAAAATTAGGTCAAGACGCCCCTTTCATTTGATTATATACTCACAAATAAAAGAGGGTACAAAGAAAAGTATGCCCTTAGTAAGTCAGCTAATTGTAAGAACTGAATAAGCTCACTTAACTTAAAAAATAAACTAATGGGCCTAAGGCCCAATAACTCCCTAACTATGTTATGTAAATAAAAACAAGTAATATCAGCCCAAAACTCAACACTACCATTCATCAACTGTTATATAACCACTCCCATCATTTTCGAAGTATGAAAATATTGCAATGAGATGCTCTTCCCGTTTCAGCTTGTTAAAATTAACTGTGCCAGCAATAAATTCTCCATAGTCAATGGTGCCATTGTTGTCCACATCAGCCGCATCCATAAGATCACGAATTTCAGACTACTTCAAATTAGAGTCATATCTTTTCCAACCAGCTTTTAGTTCATCAAATGTGATTGCACCACCATTGTCAGTATCCATTGCCTTAAGCATCTCTCATATACCAGCAAGTTCCTCTTCAGAGAGGCTTTCAACTATTACCCTCAAAGCCATATTCCTTAATTTACTCATTTCAGAGAACTGTTTTAGGCAAGAAAGGACAGTCGGATCCAATGCTCAGTCAGGAGCAACTCCATTTTGACAAATACATGGATGACATAGTACTAAATGAGCAGTCAAGCGCTGAGAACAGAGCATCTTCCTAATAAGATCCTTGACACTGTCTAAGATTTGAGGCTAGGGGTCTAATTCAAAGGCAATAACTCCCTTCAGAACCGCATAAAAAATTCCTTGCTGGGTTTCTGCCCAAAAAGGTGACACACCACTGAGCAATATATACAGTACCACTCCTGCAGTCCATACATCTGCCTGCCTCTAGTCCATAATGCTTGCAAAGTACCTCCGGAGCCACATAATATGGACATCCAACATCGGTAAATACTTGACTTGGTTTAAATAAGATTGAGAGACCAAAATCAATGTCTTTGAGAGAAAATTGTCTTTGTTAACTGATGAGGGCAGATTTGGCCCTCCAGTGAAATTGCGACACGTGGCACCTCGTGACAACTAGGCAAGCACCCAGGCAACAACTTACCAAGTTGGT